TGTGTGTGTGTGTGTGTGTGTGTATTGGGGGGAGAGGGGGCCAGCATAGAAATCATACAGTAAAGTCTGCTTTTTTTTTTTTTATGCGGTATGCCCGTAACTCAGGGCTCTAAGGAGGGCCCCAGGTGCCGCCACCGCCCCCGCGGGGTTTTGGAGCGTTGCTTGGAAGGATCTGTAGTCTATCACAGTTGAACTCCTTAGAATGGAAAAAAAGCAAGAAGGCCGACTCACGGGTTCGCTCCCATTGGAAGACAATCACGCCGCTGCACAGCATTCTATGAGCAAACCGCAGCTGATCCCAGACCTGCTATCTGAGCAATTACCCAGAGTGCTTTGGTGCCACATGGCAGGCTGGACAAGCTCATGCCCTCTGACATACAGCAAGGGGGGGAGGGCTGTTTGTATGTGTCTGTGTGTGCGTCGGTAAAGTGTTTGTGTGTGTGTGTGGGGTGGGGGGGGGGTGGGGAGAGTTAGGCTGGGGGTGGTAGCATGTATGCTCATACAGCAACAGTGTGTCTGAATTACTCAGTGGACAAAGACATGCTTGCCGGTGAGGGTTGTTGATGGGGGAGGGGAGATGGGCACTTTGCTCGGCATTATGATTATTACAATAACACACAAAACAGAAGACTCGACCATCAAAGACAAGACGCTCCATGACTGAGACATACTGTATTACTGAGGACGGTTCATGCTAATATATCAGGCATGCGTTTGTCAGATCTAGACGTTTTAGTGAGGGACGCTTATCACTGTCATTGAGTTCACGGTTCCTGTTTAAGCGTTGACAAATTATTTTGGTCACTATCATTTAATCTACCTACCAATTCTTTTTCTTAATTCATTAACCGCTCTAAATTTGGGAAAATAGTGAACTCATAGTAGTGAACTCATTACATGTTCCCAATGTCCAACCTATTGTGATCTCTTTTTGACTTATTTTCTGTTAGTTGACAAATTTGTGAAGCTTGGCTTCTTTAGTTAAATGGATTTTTATTTTTCAGGAGACAAATATTGACATCCCTCATGTTTGATTATTTATAGTTTCACTTTATAAATAGTGGCGCAAATAAGCATTGCTTGTATTCAGTTGCAGTGTCCACCAAGGCCAATAAACAATGACATTTATGATATTTACTGTACACAAGAGGAGGTAAATTATGGAAGACAGGAGAGCAGATATTCCCCCACTCTTAAATGATAAACTTGTTTTCTCAGACTGGATATACTTACAGGAAGTGTGACAGCAGATACTGAAAGTCTGCTTGAAACAACAGTGTCTTATTGATTTTAATGGGACAGTATGAAGTGAAAACATGACAGAAGACACAAGGGACATAACCCAAGCAGTATTACTATACGCTATTCCCATCTGTGTGTGTTAATCCACTCAGCGATCACCCCGACAAAAGTTTTCGCTGCGTTTTTCATCATCGGCAAAAAAAGAAAAGAAAAGAAAAAACGTTTGTTCCTCTAAGCTTTATGTGACAAGGAAGACAGAGCTACGCTGAGAGATGGAAATAGATCATGAAATACAGAAACTGAAATGATTTCCCAGTCACACAGCCACTTACAGCGAGGGGGAACACAGAGACAAATGCAAAAATGGAGTGGATGGTGAACAGTGATGGCACATTTCACAGTGTGTACACATCTAAGAGCGGCGCCGCAGTTGTTCGGGTTTAACAAGGGGTGGTGGGGGGTGCAGTGCAGATCTCCTTCATTTTCCCAAAAGATATCTCGTTAACAGGCAAGACGCTATGCATATATTTAATGAAGTGGAGATACCACCCACATTCATCCTCAACAAATCCACCCCTGGGAGTACAGTAGGAGTTGTGCTTGCCTTTCTTAAGTGCCTCATATTGAAGAAAGTTATGGTAGAAAGTGATTTCAACTGCTCACATAACAGTTATTTTATTGCACTATATTGTGTGTGTTACTCTGGGTATGTTTGTTTTGCAGACCACCCCGCAGGTTGAATAAATGAAACGTAGCTAGGCTGCACATTGTGACACACTCACACACACACACGTGCACACAAACACACATTTAAGCTAAACATGTATAGCAACACCTAGTGGCAATCATTTGCTGTTACCTTGTCCTCATAAATGGGGAAAACTGCCCTTTAAAATGTGTACGTGTGTTTCGCTTTCGTGCGTTTCAGATGAATTATCATTAAAACGTTGGTGCTAGGCTGATGCTTTTCTTTTCTGCAGTGCAATGTAGATAATTAGGACTATATTTAGAGTGAGGGCCAGCTCGGGAAATACACATGAGATCCTCACTTCATTAAAAATCAATTATCATAACACAGGTGCCAGCGGAATACAGCCCTCATGGCCACAATCAGCTACACACACACAGTGCTGCAATACATGTAGTGCACACTAAAACTATCTTTGCTCTGTGTGAAATGAATCTTGTTAGTTCTCTCCATCTTTTTCTCCCTTGAGAGACTCGATCCTCCTCTTAGCGGAGGAATCGCCCGTGTTGTAGTTCCGCTCTTACATAATAACCTCAGGATAACACTTGTGCTCCCATTAGCAGGGGACGCTGTCAGTCTCTCAGCTCAGACTGAGTGAGTGGTTGTTTTCGACAAAGCTTTCACTTGGAAATTGATACCCATAAAAAGGGTTTAGGGGAATAGCTGCATTAGAGACCTTTCTCTGCGCGTGCCACTACATTTTAGAAGTTCACTTTTTCAATAGTTTTGAAAATGTGCAACGTTTCTGTTATGTACAACCATAGAAAAGCAGATACCTAAATCCATTAACATAGATCCTTACTTTAAAACAAGGATAACACACTCTCCTCGAAACACCCAACAGATTACACGTCTTAATTCCGCCGTCATCCACAGCTGAAGTGCAACAAGGCAGCGAGCACGTATTGTTTGCTGGATATGGAAGTGGGTGCTCTGGTAAACAATTCAAAAAGCCTCCACGGCTGAGAGAGGGCGACAGGATGAACACTGACGATAGACTAGTTGGCTCCACAAGCCGATGACATCACTTCCTTTTAAGAGTGTGACAGCTTAGCACATCATCGCTGTGACAGCCAGACGACTGCAGCGAGTGGGTGGTCGCCCTGGCAACAGCGATGCTGTCATGACCGTCTCCCTGTATCCTACCTGACAGTCCCTGCTGGCGATGAGCACAACGTACACAAAACAATGCTAACAGACTCCCCCACACACACACACACACACACACACACACACACACACACACACACACACATTTTTCAAACACACAGACATCTACGCATACTTTATCTTTCTCTGTGTCGTTTTTGTAAGTGAAACGCTCACTCAGGCCCTCTCGGAAACACACGTTAGAACAATGCACATGCCCACACGCCCTCGCTCCTTTGGGCTGAATGATAGGACAAAGAGGAGGACAATCCCCCATGGGGTAAAACCAAATACAGTGAAGATATAATGTAATCACTGGAGAGGAACACACATTCCTCTAACGTGGAAAAAAGAGCTTTTTCTAAGAAATCAACAGAAACAAGTATGTAAATCCACATCAAGGCAGCAGCAGGTGCTGGCTGAAAACATTCAGCTTTATCCAAACGCAAAGAGAATGAATTGTTTCATGATTAACAATTCAATCAAAGAGTTTGTGATGAGCAGTCGTAACTCTAAAGAGTTGAGTACAGCAAAGGGAGTCAGAAGAGGACAGAAGTGTGGCTCATGCTTCGTTGTCTTTTCTGAGCTCATACGTGCTCATATATGCACTGTTGATAACACGCATGTCCTGGGCCCAACTGACCTGTTTTTCCTGACTATAAATAGTGTGTTTCAGGCCACGTTCATTGACAGCTCTGTATGTGTGAAGTCTGTCGTCCCAGTCCAGTGCTCTGCTCTGACCCAGTTTGGAGCCATTTGGCCAAGAATTGGAAATGGGTCACGTTTCCAGCCGCTGCAGAACTCACTGCATTGGATACAATACCTCAAGCACACAGTAAAACAGTGTGTTGTTCCGTCCGTAGGTAATTCATCTACTGACATCCCACTTTAAAAGGACACAATAGCATCTATTGTTGAGGTGCTACAGGAACATTAAAATTTCACATGTGGCCAATAAAGTGGACGAAGGCCCGTTTACATATTGAATGATAGAAAAATAACTAAAATGAAGGGTAATGGTGTAGAGTCTGGGATCGCGTCTGACCTGGGGTCAGTTTGTAGTCCCATAGACATGTTTTCTTGATGGCCGCAAGGAGGCGGAAAAGCAAGTGAACCTATCAGGGAAGGGGGACAGAAGCAGGGCCATGAATCAGTTCTGGTGCATCAGTTCAAATTCATTCATTCACGACCGCAAAAGTTGTATATTTACTTCTGCTTGGTGACTTTGTCTATTTCGGAGCTTTTGAGAACGTTCATAAAACGTGCAGAGCGTACAGAAGATTGGACTACGCAGGGAGATTACATGTGAACGGCTGTTTCAGCTGTGGCTAAGCCCGTGCTCACCAGAGGAGGAAACCAGTTCGTCGGGAAATAATTTAGGATTAGATAGGCTGTCTAATCTCTTTATAGACGGTGTGCCATCTCAGCAGACACACCTGCCTACCGCTACATCCTGCAAGCTCATATCTCTTAAGAAACGTGGCTATCTTGTTCCACATATCATGGACGAGCACAAAGACACCAGTAGAGGGTGTCTGCATATCTGCGTGCTACGTTGAGATACTTTTTGTTCATATTCTGTGCCTTCGGGCTGTGATCATACATGGAGCTGCCGGTACACAGTGAGTAACGATGCAAATGAAAAGTAATTACTCTAAATGTGTAGATTAAGACAAAGCTAAACCCTAAATGTATTGAGGTTGGAGAACTAAACGTGCGTGTGTGTGTGTTCTTTCTTGTGATAGAGAGAGCAAAAAGAGACCCGTTTTTTGACGGCAAACAAATGTCGTGTGCTGGTGGTGCCAGAACTGTGTTTTGTAGTGCATGTCTCTCATGCCCCTTTTTTCATTTTCATTTGCAGCCCAAATCGAAGTCATACCTTGCAAAATCTGCGGAGACAAATCATCAGGCATCCACTACGGAGTTATCACATGTGAGGGATGTAAGGTGAGGCCCTTTACAGTACTTCATCAAAGCCTCTTTTTGTTTGTCTTCAAAAGTTGTGCACTCCATCAAGCGGATTCTGTGCTCTTCGGGTACACTTACGTTTTTTCATTCATGCTCTTTGTTGACGTGTGAACAGGGTTTCTTCAGACGGAGTCAGCAGAACAATGCGTCCTACTCCTGCCCCCGCCAGAGGAACTGCCTCATCGACAGAACAAACCGCAACCGATGCCAACACTGCCGCCTGCAGAAATGTCTCGCCCTCGGAATGTCCAGAGACGGTGAGTCCCGTGTGTTGTGCAACCAGATACAGATGCACACTTAATACGCCGCCGTATTCCTACGCCCTGGAGAATCCAAAAGCTTCAATTCATTTTGATACGTTCCATGTCCCCTCAGCTGTGAAGTTTGGTCGCATGTCCAAGAAGCAACGCGACAGCCTATATGCAGAGGTCCAGAAGCACCAGGCGCGGCTGCTGGAGCAGCGGCAGCAGCAGACGGGCGAAGCGGAAGCTCTAGCACGAGTTTACTCCACCAGCCTGACCAACGGACTGTCCACCCTCAACCATGAGATTGGGGGCACCTATGCCAACGGTCACGTCATTGAGCTGCCCAAGGCCGGCCATGGTAATGGAGGTGGAGTCCAAGGGGGATACTATGGGATGGATTCTACCCAGCCATCTCCAGACCAGTCGGGTTTGGACATGTCGGGCATGAAGCACATCAAACAGGAGCCGGTGTACGACCTGACGCCAGTGCCTAACCTGTTCAGCTACGGAGGTTACCAGGACAGTCAGCTGGGACCCAACAACGTCAGCATGGGAGAGCTGGGTAAAGACCGCATTATATTTTGCTTTGTTTTCAAGACAGTCACCGATGAATAGGTCATCCTTTAAAATCTGCTTACATTATTGGAAGAAAAACCAAGAGTCAGAGTTCTAATCTGAGTACAGAACAGGAGATCAGACGGACTTATAGCTGACAAAGTGTCCCTTTACTGTATGTAGCATGAATTAAGATCTGGTTAAACTAAAGTATTTAACACAAATACAAGGGAATGATAAATTAAGCAGACCCCTAAACGGTTTACATATAGCAGTGCATAGTTACAGAACAGAATAAAGTGTACAAAACCCATTTGTTTAGTACATTGCAGCCCTGCTTGCCCCACCCAACACGCGGCACATATCAAATCATACACACATATCATGTGTCAAATGTATAAATGAATGACCACACTGTACTGAAACTAATAAATAAACGAATGAACATCACTCTCTTTCAGACCGTATTGCTCAGAATATCATCAAGTCCCACTTGGAGACATGTCAGTACACCACAGAGGAGCTGCAGCAGTTAGCCTGGCAGACACACTCCTACGAAGAGGTCAAGATGTACCAGAGCAAGGTGGGACAATATATTCAAATACAGTTTGGCTGTCATTTTCCCCTTTATTTTTAACACAGTAAAGGCTTTATTTTGATATAGTTTTAGTGATTCGGTCACTGGGACACATATGTACACATATATTCATATAATTATCTGCATAGTAGACAAAATTGCAAAACAAGTAGTTACTCTCCAGCTGGTCTGCAGAAAAAAAAACACTGACTCACTGAGGTAAAGTTATGGTTATTCCCTCTAATCTGCTGGTGTTTGGGTCCAGCCTCGGGACGTGTTGTGGCAGCAGTGTGCCATCCAGATCACCCACGCAATCCAGTACGTGGTGGAGTTCGCCAAGCGCATCTCAGGGTTCATGGAACTGTGCCAGAACGACCAAATCCTGCTGCTCAAGTCAGGTGAGTTGATTGGACAAACAGTGAGGGGCCGGGGGTCCCTCTTTGTCGCGTTAAAGGTCGGACAATGTAGTTCACCGTGCTCTTTAACCAAATACAAAACCCTGACAATCCGTCTCCGCGGCCCGTCCAGGTTGTTTGGAGGTAGTCTTGGTGCGGATGTGCAGGGCGTTCAACCCTCTCAACAACACGGTGCTCTTTGAAGGGAAGTACGGAGGCATGCAGATGTTCAAAGCTCTCGGTAAGAAACCACTCACCTGAGTATTTTTTCGGTATGAATGAGGGGAAAAGGCTGGCTGATATTTGAAAAAAAAAGGGGACAAGGACAAAGAAAGAAATGAAAAAAAAAACACTTTTCCCCTGTGAGACAATTTTACTCATCACCACATACATGACTGGAATAAGTGTAATGAGATTCTCTTTTTTGTTGTGCCCTTGTCTGTCCTCTCCTCTCCGTTTCCCTCCAAGGTTGTGACGACTTAGTGAGTGCAGTGTTTGACTTTGCCAAGAGTTTGTGTTCACTGCAGCTGACAGAGGAGGAGATCGCTCTGTTCTCGGCAGCTGTACTCATTTCCACAGGTCAGTGCACATCACCTAATATTTTTAAAATAAAGGAAGCAACCTGCATGCACCTCTGTGCTTGGACAAAAGCAAAGAACTATGCAGAATGCAACCGAATTGTCATTCTCTGTATGTAGCGGCAGAGTTAAAGTTAAATCCATGTAGGTCCACCATTGTGTAGAGTCTCGTCTGAGCCATATCAACTTTATGAAAAGCTCTCCTATCATCATGTCAACTCAAAAATTGTTTGCATTAAAGAAACAAACACTTCCTTTTTCCCCACCTAGATCGCCCGTGGCTAATGGAGCCTCGGAAAGTCCAGAAGCTCCAGGAGAAGATCTACTTTGCTCTGCAGCACATTATGCAGAAAAACCACATGGACGAAGATGCATTGGCAAAGGTAGGACAAGCTACTCCTTCAGCCTCAAGGACGGGTGCGACATTGTGAAAGAACAAAACATGAAGTCACTTCTAACCTTGTCGTTATCTCTAGCGTATCCGTCTAAATGTCCCCGTTCTTTCTCATCGATAGCTGATCAGCCGAATCCCGACGTTGTCCGCCCTGTGCACGCTGCACACCGAGGAGCTCCAGGCCTTCCAGCAGCTGCACCCAGAAACCGTCAACGTCCTCTTCCCTCCGCTCTACAAAGAACTCTTCAACCCCGACCCCAACTCCGCCATGGCCATGCCCAAGTGACTGCCTGCGGTCCCGATGCAACAAACAGCATCAGCGGACGACGGAGAAAACGAGAAGACAGCCGCGCCCGACCAGACGAGCACAGACGCGGCGACCATGTCATCGACGCGGCAGCCGCGTATCCCTGCGCTCCCCGAGCCTCATTTCATGCCGGGGGGAGAGGAGTCATCCGCCAGAAACTTACAGTTACCGCCAACAATACTAGGAATGTCGAGCACTTATCCCATCCTGTTCACCGATACAGTCTGAAGAATGTATATATAAATGAAACTCGCCCCGAGCCACAACACACGTGGGGTTTCCTCCCGTCTTCTGAACTGACTGACCAGAAATGTACAGACTTTAAAACATCTAGGAACAATTGTAAGCTGTCAATCTTTAAAAGAAATGGGTAAGTTAATTTGTTTCAACACTGAAAAAATCTTTGGGGTTTGTTTAATTTTTTTTGTTTTTTTTTACATGAGGAAATGAAGGTGAAGTTTAAGAAGGCCAATGGGGAAGGGAACTGTTGATTTAGAAAAGCTATTGTAGATATTCTTCTAGTGCAGAGCGGATTCCAGTATTACTTCTTGTTCTGTTAAAATAAGTTAGTAATTTAAATATACAGCAGCCCGCTGTGGCTGACTATACCTTGTCTATGTGTTTTTGTTTTATTTGATAGATTTTTGTGTACAGAATTTGTAAAGTCCAGACTTTTAAAAGAATATTGGGTAAAACCAGGAATCGATTCGGGTTCTGTTGATATATAGAAGCCTTGTCTGGATTTTGTTCATATGTAAAGAAGGTAATGCATCCTTCTAATGAGAACTTATTAAGATGTAAAGAGAGCTTATGACGGATTTTAAAAGAAAATAATGGCTACTACTTTTCAAGTTGAAGACATATACATAAATATTCTATTTTCCAAGAAAAATAATCTGGCAGATTTGCCAGTTTATCAATCATTTTCTTCGCGCTGCAATAATTACGTGAAATTCAATGCTGGACTGCTTTTGAACAATCAACCCAAAACAAACAACAATCAGAAACTAGGACCTCGCATTAAACCCAGTCTCACCCTGCCCTTCATTTATTATGTATTAGGGCCTCAACATGAGAAAAACAGAGGTGGATAGAAATCCCAATAAAGAAGTGGAGGATAAAAAATCCACCAATAAAAGATGACAAAATCCAACCTGAATTCAACTCACAACTTTAGAAGCTTCATAAACCCGTGAGTGCTGTATGCTCTCACCCCTCCCATCACTATTTGCACAATTCAGTCGGTGGATGTCAATCACTCCAGGCTGAGAATATGGAGGACCCTTTTCTCTAAAGAGCAATAACTTTCACACTGCCTTCCTGATCTTACTTCTATCCTTTCCTCCTCTGCATGTTCTCAGCTGTTCAGAACAGGGTTGCAGTTTAAAACTAAAATGCACTATATTTGACTCTCTTCGTCAGTGTCTAACGATCATCTCATTCCACCACTCTGCATGGTTTCAATTTGGCACAATATTGATCTGGGGTTAGGGAATAGCACAGAGCACTGACTGACAGATGTGAAGAAATACAGAGTTTGATCCAATCCAGTCATCTTTAACACTTAAAGCTGCAATATTACATTGACAATTCACACAGAAAGCTGTGATAGACAATCATTTTTTGTTTTTCATGTCAGTCACTGTATAATCATTAGCACTTACAGATTGATATCATTTTTTTGCTTTTTCTACATTAATGGTGATTATCATTTGGCCACTGTGTAAAGTCAGTTTTACCGTAAGACTAATTACCAAAATAAGTGACCCACAACCCAATAATAAACCAACATTGATCAGCTAATTATACCGTATAATTACAGTTTGTTCTCTAAATATTTGTAGACAAATTACAATTTTACAGTGATTTTATGACTGAGAATCAAGTTATTTAGCACTAAAATTGTTTGTTGTTTGCAAATGTTCTTTGCGCAGTGGCCAAATGTCCAACTTGCTCAGACTCCTTAACATTAAAACACTCGATCATTTCCATCCTCACATGTTTTTTTCATATGGTGAACAAAACGATGTCGGCCGCATGGGAAACGAGTGTCACTGTTAAACACTAGGGATCGGCTCAAACGATCCGCTGGATTCTTCCTTTGACCCCTGACCCGACCCCAGATCAGAGGCCAGTGACTCTCTAAGACAATCACTTGCTCATTAAGGCTTGATGCACTACAAAGCATCTCTCAGGGAAAAGCTCTTTTTCTGACTTCGCATTAAAAGAGGGTTTGATATTTTTGCAAATTTACGAGAGAAAAGGTCATGATAAAATTAACTTTTTAAAATAAAAACGGCATACGCCGCAAAGGTATGCTGGCAACGGAATGCGCCCAGACAAGGCTTTGATAAGTGTGTGTATGTGCTAATAGAGCATGAATTCACTGTCCACATCTCTTTAGAGCCCAGACTTTATGATGAACATTGTTACATAGCACATGAGGGAAAACAAAAAGTATATGTAGTGTGTGTTGGTGTGCTTTTGTCAACACTGTACAATCGTGTTTACTGCTTATTTTGCTGCTTTTGGGACAGTGAGGGGAGTCCACTGGTAAGCTATGAGACAAGCGCCATCACAACACCCCTGGGACAGTGAATTCCAACTCTGAATATGAAGTTTTTGTGTGTGACCCTATTATTTTCCCTTGTTAGACTGTGAATCAGAGGGATTGGATGGGGTTATGAAAGGGCATGTGCTGGCAAGAACGAGTGGCAACGCAACACTGTAAGTACGATACTGTAGCAATAAGAACTGAAGGCATTTACTACTGTCATGTTTGCATTGTAAGATTATTTTTTATTTTATTACTATTTACTATTATTATCGTTCTTATTATGACTACTATTCTTCTATTACTATTATCCTATTGTTGTTTTGTTCTATTTGCATGACGTTTCATTGCAATGAAACATTTGGGGCTTATTTGTGTTTTTTTCTTCTCATGATATTGTGAGTTTCGGGAGTGGGGGGCGTTATCGACAAAGGGGGCATAGGGTTCAGGGCAAATTTCACCTTAATTCAGTCAGTTCAAAGAAATTCCTTTCACAAGCTGGAATTTTTTGAAAAATAAAATGCTCTTATTTATACACAACCAATTTAAATGTTGTTCGATTAAATTTTTTTTTTCTCAACCTTTGAATGTGTGGGATAGTATAGTAACAGTGAACTGCCCTTTCTGAACTGGCCTTATTGAACCAGATTAGAGACCGTCAACCGGCAGCGGGTGGGTGTGGGTGGGGGTGAGGGGGGGTATCTATTCTGAATGTTATGGAGTAGCCGGTTCAGTGTGAGGGGCTGAACACATCACGCGCCTTTACCACTCCATCAACACAGAATGACATCTGAGAGCGCACAATGCAACTAGACATCATCCAGACTCACACAATCTGCGCAGGAATTTGTAATACACTTCAAATTTTCATTTCCTACACTTAGTCAAATTTACTCCAACCCAAACATCTTCCCTTTTCTGAGAAAACCTTTGTGAGTGTGTGTGGGAGAGCGAGAGAATAAAGTGTTCTACCAATGCTTTGTATACTTTCTTAATGCATAACACAGTGGGCGAAGTGTTGAAATGTTAATTTATTGTTTAAAATGTCTTTACGTCCTAGCAAGAGCAAGTGAAACGAAAATGTAGCAATCTGTAACCGAAACCTAGAAGGTTATTGGTCTTCAGCACCTCTTAAACAGGACTAACTAAACTAAAAATACAATAAAATGAGACCTTTTCTTTGTTGTTTTCAAAGTGCCATAGCTAGTGAGGAGAAAAAGGATTGGTAGAGTGAGGCGTAGATGCTCTACTATGTGAGTTTACTTGAAAAAAAAACAATAAAAAAAGGAGAACTGTGTATTTGATTACACTGACAAACAGCTTTTACATGTTATGCTTTCTTTCATTTGGAGAAAGGGGACTCTGCTGGACTCCAAACTCTGACTCCTCTATGAAACCATCAGCTCTGCTCTAGATTTTTTTTCTTTTCACATGAGAGTGACGGACGGTTTGTGCGTGCATTTGCATTTGAAGAGTCACAGATCCACATTCGATGGATCAGCATGGGTGGAAGTTCAGAGCTATGCAGAGCCCTCTCTGAGTCCTCCGTTGAGATGTACATACAATATGAAGGTCTGAAGTGATTTTTGTTAAATTCTATATTTTATCGCTTTTGTAGACATTTTGTTGTGGGAAGAAAAAAATAAAATAAATTTTATGGATGCATTTCTGCTTTCTCTTTGTCTCACACATACATGGTTAAATACTTAACTCAACAATGTATAAGTGCTTGTTAATTACAACAACAATTGTCGTTGCTTTAATGTCAAAATATTTGCATACAAAGTACAGAAAATAGTCATTTCGATTGCATCTTAAAAAAACTATATTTTCTATTATAAGTCATCCAACACAGAATAATGATTTTAAAGAATACCTGCTGCCAACAGTATTTACTTAATATATTGAATCCTTTGTTCATATTACACTGATAAATTCTCCAGTGTCTTGTCACAGACGGCTTGTGATAACAGTTCACTCTTTTATCCCCCTGCAAAGGAATCAGGGCTGAAGCAGGACACCCGAGAACATATTTGAACATATTTTAAGAGAACACGTGTAAGTGTCTGTTCAAGAAGACATGGTTTGTACTGTGAAATGTGCTATACAAATAAAACCTCCTGGCCTTGCCTTACATGTGTCAATAAAAGTGCATATGTGGTTCCTTCCCTGCTTCCTGGGTCAGCGTTTACACCCGGCTTTCATCGGCCTCTTGTTCCTCTCCTCTTGTCGGCTCCGCCTCGCCACTGTTCCTGCAGCTGTACGGACCTTTTCTTAAATCTGAACAACAGAAACATCAGTAAGCGACATGTCGCTCCAATAACGCAGTCATTACCACAAGAAAGAGAATACTGACAGGCCTGGGAGGAAGTCCATGCATCCAACATGAATAATTTGGTTTGATTTGTCGGAGAAGTGTTGGAGAGGACACCAGAAGATTGAAGAGCAAACACAATGCACCTTTGAAATATCAAAACAACTGTGTCTGAATGTTTGTGTTTGTGTGCTTGTTTGTTTTTGAGCACAGTTTCTTTCCGAGCAGTTATCCTCTAGATGCCGGTACCGTGCCTACCCAGAGACGTTAATTAATAGCTAATCAAAGCTAATGTCTCAGCAGCACATCGCCAGCACAAAGACATGATTAATATGTAATCAAAGGCCACGAAGCACAACGCACAAAGCAGGGCCCACCCCCATGCCTCAGACACTACTGTTGTTATAGGAATAAACGAACACTCGCGGCTTAATTAGCTGGCTGTTGGTGCGTCTTCATTTGAAGTTGTTGGGGATTTATCTCAGAGCCAACGTTGGCCTCCAGAGTGACGACACAGAGGTGACATACAATTTAAAGCGCATAGACACATGCGCAAAAAAATAACGCACAGTGCAAAATGAATCCTTTGTTGATTAAATTAAATATATTAAATATTATTTTGGTAAAATATTTCTCCACATGTTTTAACAATGTTAAGACGCACACATTCCTTCTCTTTCCAATGAACGCTGAACGTGTCTGACCTGCTAGGCCCAGTCTGTGGCAACAGGCACCGCAAGAATGTTTCTGCCGAAAACCGCGGATGGCGGCATCTCCGAGGTTATCTGGACCAAAAAGCATCTCACTTCTACTCCAACTGCAACAGGGTAAAGAAAAAAGGTTATCTATTTTTTACAAATCTGTATTCAAGATCATTGAAAGGTTTCTAAAACGTACCTTTGATCGTCTGCTATAATAACTGTAGGATCAGTCAGCTCCTCCCCTACACCTTTCGATTAAAAACAACACATCATCACTGATATGAAACACACATAAGTGGATACAAGGGCAATCTGCAAGCACACGGTCCAGAGGAGTCTACCTTGCATATCGAGCACCAGGAGCTCTCTGCATGAGTACTCGTATGTCCAGTGGGAGAACGCCAGCAGCGTTTCTTCCAGTGAACAGCAGGGGGAGATCTCTTCTCCGGTGTTGTTGTTGTACTTCCTGAAGTCCCCGGACATGTTCCTCTCAATAGTCAGCCACTGGCCATTTGAATGCCAGAGGACCAGCGCTACATCTAGAAACCTGGTGGTGGAGAGGGGGGGGGTGGGGGGGGTGAGGGTGTGGGGGGCATTAGTACATGCATGAACACACATGGGCATATACACTTGGACCAAAACACACACCTCGGCGAGTGATGCATATCGTCGGGTTTGACCGAGTTGAAGACTTGCATCATCTTCTGGGCTGCTCTCTGCTGCTGGATCTCCTTCAGAGGTATCCAAAGTAGAGGAGGTTTAACATGTAACTAAAAATAAGCAGTTTTCTCTTATTATTGAGAAATATCACTTTCCTTTTTAGGTACACTCACCCTCAAACAAAGCTGCAGTGCCGTACTACCATGGAGGTGCCTCTGCCAGGCACGAACCACCTCCGGCCTGAAGGCCTTCACCACGTACACCGCACCAGGTCTGAGCACGTCGCGTTCTGCCCAGGTACACAGCACCCTGCAGCCCTGCCGGAGACCCCCATCCAAAGAGCCCACTTCACTGGAGAGGGGCTGCAGCATGGCGGACAGGCCTTGTGTCGACCAGGAGGAACCTGTGCCACATTCTGGGTCATCATCAGAGGACAATTCTTCCAGAGAGTAGACACTCACCTCTTCACCTCCTGCAGAGAATGAGGAAAAACAGTTTAAGATTAAGTCAATGAAAGGAAAAATGGTCATTCATGGGAAATAAATTTACTGTGACCACAAACAAAGGAGTTACCTCGAATGGAGACAGGAGTGAATGGGATCGTGTGAGCCAGTCTCATCAGATTGTTTCTCTCCATAGCTGTCAACAGACCAACAAAAGAGCTTAAATAGTTCAGAAGTAACACATAAAGCAGATGCATGATAGATCCAGGTATAAAAGCGGTTGAAATCAAGTAAAACAAAATTGCGGGAGCAACATTCTGCATAACATCTCAATACCTGAATAGTTTGGATACAAATTTTCGGAGGACTGGAATGAGGAGTTTTTTGCTAAAGCAAATGAAACACAAAAAAGTAAATTTCACGATCACAAAATAATTAACTACACAGATATATTCTATATGAAATGTTCATAAATACCTTCAGGGGAAATCCCACTATCCCACACTAAACTATATCAAATTCATAAAGAAAAAATATTTAATACGATCATAACGCATCCTTACATGTTTTGAAAGTGTTCCGGCAGAACAAAAGACAGGCAGACTTACGAAGATCTGCGGCTCATCGATCGGGCCCGGCTGTTCCATGCTGAGTTAGTGGGGCTCCACACATCCTGAAGGCCGATGGACATCGCTTACACTCAACATGTCTTATTCCTCATCAATATTTCTAATATTTCAACAGAGTGAGCCCACAAATTGTCACATGTTTTACCTGTTGGGAAAACACCTGCTTTTTCAACAAATCCATTGGTTCAAAATCTGAAAACAATTTTGAGATTTTTAATATTCTAAGACAGTAAACAATAAATACAGTATCAATACGATCTTAACATGAAATAGTGTTAATTTCCTCACTGAGTTGACTGAGACTGGTGGAAGCCGACCAACATGTCGGCTCTCCTCTCAATCTCCGGTACTTTCTCCAGCTGGCATCAGACAGATTTGACTGCGTCGCTGCCTTCAGACAATACAAAACTAAACAGTAAGCAGGTTTTATGATCCATGCATGTCTGAGCCATCATGGACACATTTCAAATACCATGAATAAAGTAAAACTCAACAGACAACTGTGAACATCTTACAGTCTGTGGGCTGCTCTCTTGAATCTTCACCGTCTTCCTGTTTTGTCTTTTTCTTTTGCCGTTTGAGACGTGAGTGAAGTCCGAGGATTTGGACCACTCTGCGGGAACCAAAACACACGTGGTTTGTTAGAAAATGGGGCTACATGATAATACTAAATTAAATTGATTGACGGACATAGAAAAAAAAGGGTGCTGTGCATAGTAAAATGTTATGTATCTTTTTAAATAGTTCTATTACTAGAAGATACTAGAAGAACTATAGATGGTTAATAGTTAGATAGTTGCATGCTTAATACAAAGATTTATCGCCAAATGCTTCTTTTTTTCTTTGAAACCGTCCATTTGTAATAAATAATGACCTTTTCTAACCCCTGCATTGCAGTAAACAACCGTTACCTTTGCTCTTGCTGCACAGTAGTGATGTGTCGTCCCTGAAACTCTTTCCATCAGACAAACTCTCTTTGTCCCTCGGTTCATTGAGCAAAGGATATGATCCTCTCATCAGAGTGAGGGGCGCTCCAGAGAAAGGGATATTCTCCACACTCGATGACAGGGATGCGCAAGCGCCGTAGGGGCGGTCACTTGACGGACACGCCCATCCCGAAGATTTCACAGTCCTCCCGCTTTGGCTGGAATGTCCGGATGGAGAACTTGGTCGGCAATCACCCAGAGAAAAGGCAGGATTGACCAAACCCTCAGAGACGTCTCGAGGTTCCGACAGAAGGGAAGCATTGGAGGAGGCTCTGGATAATTCTACACTAGACGGCTCTTCACGGGTCTTTTCCTCCCCTTGCTCTCCTTCTTTTGGTCCTTCTTCCTCCTCTTCCACGGAAGTTTCCTCCTGACTTGGGTGCAGGTGTGGCTCACATGTCCAAAGTTTATGATGCGCTGACTCCAGGCTTCTGGGAGAAAGAGGAGATGATCCACAAGAGTGACAGGGTGTCGGATCCCTGAAACCATAGAGATGAACACTATCTCCGGAAGAGTGAGAGAGGGAAGCATGATACGAAGGT